TTTTTTTTTTTCTTTTCTTTTCTTTTTTCCTCCTCTCTCCCCCGCCTGAGCTGTGGGGGGACCAAAGAAAAGCCTCGCTGTGGTTATATTCTCCCTCGCCCGTCGTGAGGCATGGGAGCCGGGGTTTGGTATCAGGGCCTGCTGGTGGGGCACCGCTGCCCACCGTTTTCATGGAGGTTGCGCCCTGCTTTGGGGTGTTGGGAAGGGCAGGTTGGGAAGAGGGCAGCAGGTGGGGAGAGGGTGGAGAGAGGAGGCTGGAGAAGGGGGAGGGGGACCTGAGCTAGCTTGGAGGATAGAGGTGGGGCCTTCCTCCCCCAGGCGTAGCGGGGGTGGTCTCATCGGAGGAGGGAGCATCTTGTCACTGGCCCTGAGTTTGTGTCTTCCAATCCGCTTTCTTTCTCTAGGAAGTACCAGGATTCCCGGAACAGAAAATGAAGCCCTTGCTTACGCCAGTCCTTTGAAGGAAGGGGGAGGTGGGGAGGTAAAGTTCCCCCATTAAAACGCAGCCCCACTTGATTAGTTAAGTGGTGGACTCTCTTTTGGAGAGACTTGTTCGTTTTGGGAGTTCTGTTACTGCTGGTCTCTGGGCCTGATGGAGGAGAATGTGGTCAGGAATGAGAAGAAAATAGTAAGGTCATGAGGGTGAGGAGAAAGGTAATGTAAAACCTATCTCTACGGACGCTGGATTGGGTCACCCTTGGTCTATGGCATGAAAGTTTTATTGGGAGGAGATCTGCTGCCGGAGTCTGATTGCTTGACTCATTGCAACAGGATAGAATCTAGTCTCTGCATACCTGCATCTGTCCCCAGTCAGGTAGATGGAGACTGTCTTTGCTGCCATTTTGTCTTAGGCCTGTTTGGGGGTAGTGTCAGGATGGGCGGTGGCCAGAGGTGGTGGTCTTTTGTGTCCTGTTTAAATAAATTGTTAAAGCCCGTTTTAAGAAAGGCTCGAATCACTCGTTCATTTTTGCACAGAATGAATCATTGACCTTGGAGGCAGCTGGAAAAGGAAGGCTCCCATTTGTATCACATTCAATGTCTTGCCATCTTGCACAGTCAATTTTCCTTCCTTTCTTTCTCTCTTCCCCTCCCTCCCTTCTTTTCTTTTTTCTTTGAGACAAGATATCTCTGGGTAGTCCCCTTGATGGCCTCAAACTTACAGCTGCTGCCTCTGTCTCTTGAGTGTTGAGGTTACAGTGTGGGTCCCCACAACAGACCCCTACTGGCTATTTTGAGACGTGCTGGGTTTGAACTCAAGAGTCTTTCTTTTGTAAGATGAACAAAGGGATGGGAGTGTATAGCAATCAGCAAGGTTTCTAGCTATAGTTTCAGGAAAAGGGACGGAGGAGATCTCGGCACTAGGAGATGCAGCAGGAGGATAGAGGTTTAGGCCAGTCTGGGTTATGTAGCAAGACTGTCGCCAACAAAACAAAATAAAAAAACCTGACATATTTAGAGATAGACAAGCAATTGTCTATCTTATCAGGTGTTAAGGGTGATATTTTAGTGTGCGTTTATCTGCTCCCATTTCAGTATTTATGAAGAGAGGAAGTGGGATTAAAGGACAGAGCAATCTCTATTGAGAACAAGAAACTTCTTTAAAATTAGGTTTGTTGCCGGGTGGTGATGGCTCATACCTTTAACCCCAGCACTTGGGAGGCAGTTTTATTTTTTAATTATTTTTATTTTATGTGCATTGGTGTTTTGGAACTGGAGTTACAGACAGTTGGGAGCTGCCATGAGGATGCTGGGAATTGAACCTGAGTCCTCCAGAAGAACAGCCAGTGCTCTTAACCACTGAGCCATTTCTTCAGGCACTGAGACCTTACCTTAAAACAAAACAAAAAACCCAAACAAACAAAATGAAGGCTTCAGGGACCAGTGGGAGCGTAGGCTTAACACAGTGGTTCTCCACCTTCCAGTTGAGACTTTTTAAGATTTCATAAGACTATCAGAAAACAGATATTTACATTGCAGTTCGTAGCAGTAGCAAAATTACAGTTCTGACATAGCAAGGAAAATAATTTATAGTTGGGGGATCCCCACAATATGAGGAGCTGTATTAGAGTCTCAGTGTTAGGAAGGGTGAGAACCACTGACTTGCAGGTAAGGTTACTTGAAGCCTCGCCTGAAGGCCTGAGTTTGAGTAAGTTGGAAAGAGAATCACTGTTCAGAAGTTGTTCTTTACCTCCACATGTGTAATATGGTGTGCACCTGCCCACATGTACACTAAATGAAAGTGTAATTACTCTTTTAAGGGCTAGAGAGATGGTTCAGCAATTGTTCCTACCTAGCACCCACATTGGGCATTTTTATAAGTCTCTCTTAACTCCAGCTCCAGGTGACCAAGGCTTAGTCTCTTCCTCTTTAACCTGCATCCACCTGCATGCACATTTAATCCCCGCTCCCCAGGTGCCTTTATTTGCAGCACTAAGGAAGCACAGGCAGATGGATCTGGGTGAGTTCCAGGACAGCCAGGGATATACAGACTCCTCAGGGGGGGGAAAGTAAATCTTTGAGCATTTCTACAATTTTCTGTGTGTTGGTTTTTTGGCTCCGGGTGTGCTGTGTACCACGTGTGTGCAGGAATGAGCTGGAGGTCAGAAGAGCTGTCAGACCCCTGGACAGAAGTTATAGATGATGTCGGTGCTGGAAACTGGTCCTGGTTCCTCTGGAAGAGCAGCCTGTGCTCAACAACTAAACCATTTCAGTCCCTCTCCTCCATTCTTTTTTTTTTCCCCTTAAGAGGGTTTCTGTAGCACTGGCTATCCTATAACTTGTTCTGTAGACCAGGCTGGCCTTGAACTGAGATTTGCTTGACTCTGTCTCCTGAGTCTGGGATTAAAGGCATGTGCCACCACCACCTGGCACAAACTTTGTTTTCTTTTAAGTGAAGGCTTCATATTCTGTCTGGGAAAGAATTGTCCAAGGTGTGATCTTTTGTGGATGTTCTATAATATTCTCTCTCTTTCTGTTTCTCTGTCTTGTCTGTGAATAAAGACATGTGTCACCAACTGCCTGGCAATGTGCTATAATTTTCTTATTGATTTTTAGAAAGGATCTGTTACACCATGTAAACTAGGAGGGAGTGGCTTAAGACTGGAAGGGACCCCCTATTATCGACACATTCCTCAAGAAGGGTCTGAGTGTGCAGGGTTTCCAGGTGCCTTTTAGCTCTCCCATTGCTGGTAAGACCTTGGCATACCGTTTTATTACTTTATGTGTGTTAATTGTGAATGTTTATATTTAAAATGAATTTAGGATGCAAGAGCATTTGTTTTCTATTGAAAATTTTGTGTGTGTGTGTTTTCGGGGGTCTTATGATGCTTAGGCTAGCCTCAAACTAGCAAAGGCTGTCTTTGAATTGAGGGTCCTTTTTCCCCCACACTGTAGTGTTGGCATTGCAGGTGTGCATAACCTCCCCTAGTTTATTCAGTGATAGTGACTGAAACCTTGGCCTTGAGCATGCCAGGCAAGCACTCTTATCAACTGAGCTATGTTCCCTTCCTGTAATTTTTTTAAAAAATGAAACATTCAGACTTCACTCTAAGTAAAACCTTAAAATCTAATATATAAAATGTTTTATTGAGAAAAGTGGGTGGGTATGGAAATGTCGAGAGTGGAGACAGATCTAGAACTGTTGTCTGTGTGTAGTCTCTTCCCAGGCAGCTTTTTTTTTAAAGTTATGTTAGAACATTTATTTTTATTCATATGAGTGTTTTGCTTCCATGTCTGTATGTGCACTGTGTGTGTGATGCCTGGTACCTGTGGTCAGATGAAGATATCATATCCCTTGGAGCTGGAGTTATGGATGTCTGTGAGCTACCATGTGGATGCTGGGAACCAAACCTGGGTCCTCTGCAAAATGTGGGTGGGTGCGTGCGTGCGTGAGTCAGATGACAACTTGCCCTTTTTCTCCTTCCATAGTGTGGACCCTGAGTATTGAACTCAGGTTTTCAGATTTGGTAGTGTTTTTACCTGCTGAGCCATCTCTGCCCACCCCCCTTTTTGAGAGTTGCCTGTATTCCAGACTGCCCTAAATTTGTAATGTAGAACACAGTGGCCTGATACTGGCTCCTGTGTGCTATGATGACAGTTAGACACCATGCCTGGTGTCTTGGCAGCCTCTTGGTCCCACCCAAGGAACACTAGGGCTCTGAGAACATGGGAAACTACTACATCTCCAGTTTGTCACATTCAGGAGGAAGACTGGGGGGGTCACAAGTGGATTATTTTCTGTCTCAGTGCTACAAATGTTTTGTAATCCTCAGTGGGACCATTGCAGAAAGTGTGTTAGTCTCTAGCTCCAGGTCAGCCTTAGTGCTTTGTGCCAGGACAGAAAGACTGTGGCATAGCCCCTGCAGAGCTAGGAGAGTTCATAGTCAGTGCAGGAATTCCCAGCCTTTTCTCTATTACGGCATACACAGGAAATGATAACTAGGACAGCAGCTAGAAACCTGAGCTGATGGGTCTACAGGTTCTAGTCACCTGGAGTCCTGCCTAGGCATCCATTGGCTTTGTGACCGGTGTCTCCAGCTGACTTGTAATGCATCAGAGGCACTTTGCGAAGCCTTATCTCTGGAAAATGAAACAGACAAGCATGAATAAACCACATTTTTCTGTTTCTTTAGACTCTTTAAAAAATATATATATTATAGTGTGTCAGTGTTTGGCTGCCTGCATGTCTGCACCACATGTCTACAGTACATGAGCAAACCAGAAGAAGGTATCTGATCTCCTGGAACTGGAGTTAACACATGACTGTGAACCACCATGTCGGTGCAGGGAATTGGATCTGTGTCCTCTGGAAGAGCAGCCAGTGCTCTGAATTGCTGGGTATCTCTCTTACGTGCTGCTATACCTGGCCTTGTCCAGATTCTAGTTTTCTGTTTGACTTGTTCACTGTGCACTTTGTATTGACCTGTACCAGGGGCCAGATTGTCTTTATTAAGGCTTTCTACTAACTACCCAAGTGATTTTTATAATGATGAATGTGAAATGTTTTGGCTGGAGATAGGAATAGTCATAGAATGTCTGGACTTGGGAGGAGTTGTAAGCTGCTCAGATTGTAAGAAATAAAGCAAGAGGCTGGTTAAATGGCTTAGCATTAAGCACTGACTGCTTTTCTGGAGGATCCAGGTTTGGTTCCCCGCATCCACATGGCAACTCTCAACTGTCCTGGTACCTTGCCAGGTACCAGACATACTTATGGTGCACAGACACGCATACAGGCAAAACACCACACACATAAAATAAGGCAGGTGCCACCATAACTAGCTTTAAAAAATAATTGTTTAATGAAACCCCCCCCCCCAAAAAAAAAAACCCTAAAAGAATAGGATAGGCTGAAAAGTTTTGGTCAGGACAATGCCTCAGGATGTTGAGGAAAATAGGTAAGTAGTTTTCATTTGGTTTTAGTATCTGACTAGATCATTCCTTTTTAGCAAGGGCATGGGTCTGGAACCCAGATGGGTTTGCCTG